CTGGAAAGAAACTCCTCTGAGTACTCTGCTTAGATTTCTTTACTTCCCTCATTTGAGGATACCTTGTCAGTCAATAGTGATTGCTTATATTCTTCTCATTCCTGCTTGAAACCACTCTGTTTCAGTGTATGAACACTGTTGGTGGTCAAATGATGATTTATCCTTTGGATTAAGATGGTAGTGAAGAATTTTCTGGCAGTAAGTAGGCATATTATAGATCAGCAATCTTTCAAGTGGCTTAAATCATATTGGTTTAATGTGATCCCTTTCATTATAAATTTTGGCAAGACTTCTTTTCTTTTCATAACTTGGCACTTCCATGCCAAGATGTGATACTTTTATTTCAGATATTTTTACCAGTTGTTGTTCAACTGATCCAGCCCTGGGGCTTTCTAATTTTCAAGGTTTTGTATAACTTTAAGGACACCTTTTGGTGATAACTTGCTTCTGTTTGGCAAGAATGTTTGACTTGTTCATTCTTTTTCATTCTTAATCAAATAGAAATGTTTACCATTCTGGACTGGCTGTGAAGAGATCTCACTCCAGAAGGCATCCTAGCATGATGGGGCAATCTTTGCATTCTGTTTTCAGGATCTGATAGCACTTAGTATAAAAATCTTTGATTGGTATTAAATGGACAATGTTGTGTCTTTGTTTGATTGTTTTGTGATAAGTCCAGGTGCAGCAACCTCAGGCCATAACTGGTGGATTGAATTGCTTGAACTGCTCTTGGAGATGTTGACAATCTTCATGGTTGGTAAGCCTTCATTTTTCTCATTATTACCCCAACTTGTGTTCTGACTACTGTTTTTGAACTACAAGATCAGGACACTTATTTATTTCTTCCAGTTGTGATCTAGGTTTCCGCCCAGAATTCTCCCATTGCCATGTCCTCTGTAACTAATTGTTTCTACTCCTACTAACTACACTGTTATGCACTTACACACAATTATAGCAGTATGTCTACAAGATGATATAATGCACTACAAATTCTTACTCAGGACAAAGTGCTTTGCTAATGTGTAATCAGGGAGTTCTATTGCTTCTAGATATCTCCCTCCATGTGGGAGATATGGAATAGGTGTCTGTCCTTAAGAGCTATTCCTTCATATTGCGGTAAGAAAGTGGTAAACATTTCTTCCACCTTTTCATATTTCTTGTATTGTGGTTCAGATTTAATCAATTAGCAATCATCTTGTTCTTCAACAGTTGGGCAGATGTTGTCATGCCACCATGAGGGCTTACCTTCATTTGGGCAACTTTGCCTCTTGGTTGTGTCAGTAATTTCCCTTTTGATACATACAATTCAATATTGGACAGAAATGTCCTGCTTTGAACAAAGGGGACAGAGTCTGACACATATTGGTTGAGCATCATTTCTTCCACACATTAACCATCTTCTTTCTATGTCCAGTTTTGCAGGTTAGTCTCTTATGGGTGGGGGGCTTATGGCTCTCATTTCTTATGGGAGGGCACAGCCCCCCAAATCCCTCCCACATATTTCAAACCATGGATATAAGTTTGCCCTGATATCTTGCTTAATAGTATGGGGAACCTTCACAACATCATCGGCATGAGAATCACACACCAGTCCAGAACTGCCTGCAGCCCTTGTTAACCTGGTTAATGAACAAGCCAGTTTGAGAATTTCTTCTGCACTTTTCCATAATACCTGTTTCACTGAGTTGTGTCTAATGACTTGGATACACAGACTCATCATGTTCTGAAGGCAAAAGCCTCTCTTGGTAGTTATTGTTGTTTATTATAACTCCTCTTTTTTTCTCTTCCTCCTCTTCCCCTTCTGGTTAGTTGGAAAGCTCTGAGGTCAGGGCTGAACTGGGACTTCTTCATTATCAGGTAAAGTCTGAGAACATGATATACCAGTACCTCCTTCCTGGCTTAGAAACCAAGAGTGTTTCCTCCTCGCTTTCCTTGATGTGGCTCATACTTCTTCAAAGAGCCAGAAAAATATTTCAGTACTGGGTGAAGCTAATTATACTTTTAGAAATTTTCCCATCTACAGGTCAACTGAAGAATTTCCTGAGTGGGGTTCAGATTTTACATACTGTATGTGCTAACCTTTATCACAGCAAGTGACTGGAAATGCTGAAGTATTTCCATATCAAGGGGTTTCACGTATGAAGTTCAAAACTACTTATGTTTTTATGCTAAAATGAAAGGCCTAATTTAAACCTACATCAGGAAGGCATAAATAAGATTCCATCCTCAACAAAATCCACTCTATCCCTCTTTAAAAGATAAAAGGAAGGTTTTTATTAGAATCAGTAACAACAGTTTGCTGCAGACCTTTATGTAAAGCTGCATTTCTATTTTTAACTTATTACCATCAATGTGTAATTAGGACTTTTTAAAAATACAGATTGTTCACACAATGGGTAGTAGTGACTCTATAGTCTTCTATCCCTGACACACACTTAAGAACTTTTTTTTAATCAGAAAATATTTTATTCCATTGCATCAGGCATCTGGCCATATTTCACCTAACAAATTCCTTGCCATTATAGAGGCCCAACACGTTTGCAGTGCCTCATATTGCCCTGCTCTTTTCTTTAGTTAGACTGCAGTTTTTGAGGCTTCTGTTTACAAAATACATTTCATAGAGTTAAACATTGTTGGGTTTCAGTATGTGGGAGAGAGAATGAAGTCTATTTTTGTATACTCTTCTGGATTTACCATGGATGCCTGTGACTGCAGGGGAATACAGTTTATGATCCAAGTGGTTCATTTCTATGTTTAGTACATAAGGAAGTAAGTGCTAGAGAATAAAGTTGGTAAGGTGAGGTAATATGTTTTATTGAGTCAAATTCATAGTTGTGAGAGGTAAAAAGTTCTCAGGATTCAGTTGTATTACATCAGGTCTGGGTAAAAAGCAATTACCTTCTAGACTAAGCACAAGTTAGAACAATTGCTATCACTTTAACTTAATTATATTAATCAACAGGAACCCTTGAAAACAGAACAGTTATCACCTGAGAAGTGAAAAGGCGGGACAGGGGAAAGTTAAGCTGTTATAAAAAGCAATGTTTCTGTTAAGTCTCTAGTTTTTACTGTTTGTTTCCAGATGCATCTGCTCCATGGTAAATATTTGCAACACTCAACTCATCAATCTAAAAGCTTGATTGGGGCAATGGACCTCATCTTTGAACAAACCACCCAAATACCTTGCACAAAGGAACTACAATGCAAAAGTTCAAAATGCTATTAACTATGGGTGCCCATACACCTGGTGGAGGCTGCTCTGACACATTGTAATTATAGTGCATTGGAAAAGACTCGATTAATTGAGGCTGCTAGAGCAGGGTAACTACCCTGCTCCAACCATCCTCTGTGTCTTGTGTATCAGCATCCCTACACTTCAAAATGGTAGTGGAGGTACTTTAACTAAAGCTGGTTCAATGAGCTTTTGTTAAAGTTCCCCTGCTGCTATTTTGAAGTGCAGGGATGGTGATACATGAGATGCTTCAGGCACTTTAATTAAAGTGGCTCTTGGAGTGGCTCTTATTAAAGTGCCCCCTCTCCACCCCCAGAGTTGTCACACACTGTCCAATGCTGGAAGCCATGCAAACAGTCATCAAATGATTATAATCACACACCTGAAGAAAATTTTATCTTAAAAGGAAATTTTCCCAGGCCTTTCCCCCCTCCCCAGCTTTCAAAGTACCCCCTAATCTTTCCAACCTCAGCATCAAAGGACATTTCCTTCAAGCCAACAAACACCAAGTGGAAGCAGGCCTTGCCAGAACAGCAAATGCCAAACCCTGCCAGCATCTCCAGCACCAGAATAAACAACATCCTCTATAATGACACTATCAGAACCCCTGAATCTTATGGATGACTTTCTCAACCTGTGAAATACTTCATCTAATCCATCAGATGCTCTGAAAGAAACCAAGCAACTACCACCTTCCTGAATGATTTCACATGGAACAACAATAAAGGACAGAAACACCCTTTTATCATTGTGAGCATATTTTTTCCTAAAATAATCACAGTCAGATCGCTGGTTTGAGGAATGTTATACATGATAAGTCTGTGTATGGGTGTTCATTTTCTAAACAACCACAGAAAAAAAATAAACCCGGCAAGTCTGAGATACAAATAGGTCCTGAGAAGATCTCTGTCCCATTCATCAAGCAACACTGACCTTCTTTAGAAGAAGAATTGTATACCACAGCCTTATTTTCTGTAAGAAGTATACTGATCACGTGTTACAAATGTCATCACCCCTTTGTTTTTACAGGTAGGGAAACTGGTGCAGAGAGAAGAGAAGCAACTTGCCCAAGGTTACCAAGCAATGACAGAGGTGCAGATGGCCTCCCAAGTTCCTGTTAATGCTGTGTCTGCTGGGTTATAGTTCTTCTAGACCTTTGATCAAACCTAAATACCCTGACTTACCTGGTCTTGGTTTTACAGTGATGGCAAAGTGTGCATAAATATTTTCATATCAATACTTTATAGAGAATGCTAGAACCTGTTTAATTTATGAAAATCTTCATGCTGCAATCGTCAAATTGAATGGTAATCTTCTCTGTGGAAAAGCAGTGAGGTGAGAATAAATTCCACTTAATGCACATCTTCATCTCTAAATCCTGAGCATTTAAATTTCCTTTGGCTTTCAGAAAGACACAGGAACTGATTTTGTTTTCCATTCTGTTATTTTCTTCAATTTCTACCAGGTAAATCATTAGAAAAAGGTATTGAGAAAAATAAGTATAAAATAAACAGCAAAAGGCTGAACAGTCAAGTGTCCAAATGCATTCATATGGGTCATGCATTGATAGTTTTCCAACAATTACTATGAGATTAAAAATGATGTCTAGCTGGTAAAAAAATTTCTGTTAAAACCTCTTAAGTGGAAAATTGGGGTTTTGATTAACAGTGTATTTCACAAAAAGGGGTTGCTTTCCTCAGGAATAATAATAATAATAATAAACCTTTTATTTTTTTTTTAATTTTTAAAGTAAAGTTTTTGGAGTGTGGGTCAAAATATTTAGTAGTTGAAAAAAAAATCAGAAAAATAATTGAAATTGGAATTCTCCATATGGGAAGAAATAACAGCTGTTACTGATAAAACTGAAGGCAGGCTACTTGTCACAATTTAATAAAAAAGGTCAAAATAATTTACAAAAGTAATGTCATTTTTCTTAATATGCCCCATGGTACTTTGCACTTGTGGCTGACTGTCTGAGTTCCCCACCACTTCCCTGTGTCTGAGCACTCTTGCTCACAGCTGAGAATCCAGCACAAATATATTTTACAAAAAGGCTGTTATTTAATTAATCATGTTTAAATGATACCATCTCCTCAATAGTTTAATTCAGTTCAGTGCCTCTAAATATAGATTGTAAAAGATAAATGGAATATAGATTGTAAGAGATAAGTGGAAGTTATCTTCTGTTGCCCTTGTTTAATCTTCTGACTTCAAAGGGCATGAAAATGGGTATATAAGTCACTTGAGAGAGCTGTTGGAAAACTCCACTTGAACTGTATTCACAAGCCATGAATCATGTAACACAATCTTCGGTTTGAACTTGAAAAAGCTCTCTCACCAACCTCTCTGACTTATGACAGACTAGACAATATAGTTTATTTTCCACTGATATGCCATGAAAGATACAGGATAGCTATTTTCTAGCACATAACTTGTGTGTATGCAAAACCTCATATGCCACATTGCACTTTCTCAAATAGTTTATAATTGCTTCCCAGCTCAGTCCAAACTTAATCTATTTCTCTTGTCTTTTTCTCAAAGTATTTTGGTATCTTCAAAGGCAACCAGAGCTTTCTGGCATATAGCGGCCCTTAAAATAACATTATATTGCCCCATTCTATAAATTGTGTTTGGTGTTTCCTTTGTGTCTTGACAACTTTAAGAAAGGGTGATAATTATATTTGTATCTGAGATTACATGTGAGGAACTGTATTTCATATTCCAAATGGAATTCATTGATGCACACTTTTGGAAGGAGAACTCAGGAATACATCTGGCTGAACCAGAGTATAACAACAAACTTAAGGGCTTAACTAGAAATAAACAGGAAATGGGACAGTGGAATCAGCCCTATTTCAGGTTTAGTGAGATTCACCCTATTAACTGAAAAAGTGAATAGATCCTTAGATTTTGCCTTGCTGTCATTTCATACAAGATGTTACTGGAAACCTCCACTTTTTCCAGATGTATACATGGCTGGGTTGCAAGCTATTGTTAAATCAGTTATGAACAATATTATCTTTCTTCCAAGACACAGATAATTGAGGAGGCAGAAAACTGTGTTTTTGTTATGATGTGCAAATAAGATTTTTCAAAAGCTATGTCTTAATACTTGCTGGATGCCCTCTTCATTGTATGGCAACTATATCCTGAAAGCAAGAAAGCTGTCATTCAAAGTACTGGTTCATATCTGATGCCAAAGTTACTTTTTTCAGATGGTTAAATGGGAAGGGACACTTTTTTCAGATGGTTAAATGGGAAGGGACATTTTTAGCTAATAATGAAAATAATCAAGTTGATTAAGATCATCATTGCTAAGCTAATCTATCCAGGTGAAAAAGATGAGTGCAATCACAACAGAAAGACTGATTTTGAAAATCTGCCAAGAACAGTAAAGATACTTACAAACACACTAAGTAGCAAGAGAGGATGGAAAGCCATCTTTTCACTACTGTGATTGCATTTATTGGCGTTGTGCTCAGGTGTAACTGAGGCTGTGTCAAAATATAGGGTCATCTCTCATTTCAGAAAGACATAATGTAAATACTATATAATGAATGTCCTGCAATTCACTCCCAGTTTCTTTAGAAGAAATATGCTTGTCAGGGTCTGCCACAAATCATTAACTGAAAAGAAACCTGGTAAATATTACACACAGAAATGTCACCTATTTATCTGGTTTTTAATGTCAGTGAATCGTTCTAGTGATAATAATGACTACATTGCCTTCCATATGAAGCAAAAGAAATATTGAATACAGTTAGATAACAACATGATTCAGACTTTGCTACTGGTTTGTATACAATTATAGATGTTAGCTAATTATTACTGGCATCAAATTCATATAAATCATGGGTAAATAGTGGGTGGATCTACATGTGAAATTAATGTGCCTGATTTTTCTGCACACATCTGAACATGTGCCTGTCAGGAGCAAATTTGCTCCCGACAGGAAGAGTGAACAGGAAGAGTGACAGGAAGAGTCCAGGAGTGCTCCTGCCTGGCTTTTCCTCCCTGCAGCAGGTAGGAAGAGTTCCAGACTCCCCCAGGTGACAGCCCCAGGCTGGCAGGGACACAGGGCCTGATCCCAATCTCTGTGGGGTAGGGGAGAGCTGTACTTGGTACCAGGCAGCTGACTCCTAGCCACATGGAGATGGGACCCATTCTGATCTCCATGTGGCTGGGAGAGCTTTCCTGGCTTTTGGGCAGCTGCCTCCCAGCTATATGGAGATCGGGACAGCTCTCCCCTACCCTGTAGAGATCAGGACCAGCCCGTGCCCTCTGCCAGCTTAGAGCTCCCCCTGGAAGTTGCAGAGGGGCAGAGCAGGGCAGAAGAAGCCCTGGACTGAACTGCTCCCATTTGGAGCAAATTTGATCCCTAGGGGCCCACATTCAGATGTGTGCAGGGCCACCATTTAATGTGCGTGAATTTTCTATGGAGAAAATTCAGGTGCATTAATTGCAC